CTATATATATATATATATATATATATNTTATTATATATATATATATATATATATATATATATACTTCACATGGAACTACAGCTGACATGCGTACATATATATATCTTTGCTATCGTGAACCTGCTTATCTGATGCAACCACCTCGTGATTAGTTCTAAATTTGTTTACAATTGGCGTGACCTCCAACACAAATTTGTTTTCAGAATATCCGAATTCTGCCGATACTTTGTTTTGTTGTTATATTGCACTATTGAGTCTACATGTTCACTTGCATTCAATCACGTGTACATACTACGCGTACTATCTACGCACACTATTCAAGTATACTGGCCAAGTATATAAACTACTTATATCATCTACACATAATACTGAATATGTGAACTAAATACGTATACTATTTACATATATTAGTTACGAAAACTGACTACGTGAACTAACTACGTTTTCTATTTACTTATACTAGTTACGAAAACTGACTACGTGAACTAACTACGTTTACTATTTACGTATACTAGTTACGAAAACTGACTACGTGAACTAACTACGTTTGCTAACTACTATTTCTTGTCAAATCATTCAACAGAGCATTGCCGCGTACACTCCCCGATCCACCATGAAGGAACCCGTGCTAGTCCTCTTTACATTGAAACGGGTACGTCTAAGTAACTAGATGTGTCATGCAGGTGTATCACTCAAATGCGTGCACCCGTACGTGTCCTCTTTACACTGAAACGGGTACGTCTAAGTAACTAGATGTGTCTTGCAGGTGTATTACTCACAAGCGTGCACCCGTGCTAGTCCTCTTTACATTGAAACGGGTACGTCCAAGTAACTAGATGTGTCTTGCAGGTGTATTACTCACATGCGTGCACCCTTACTAGTCGTCTTTACATTGGAACGGGTACGTCTAAGGAACTACATGTGTCTTGCAGGTGTATTACTCACATGCGTGCACCCGGACTAGTCCTCTTTGCATTGAAACGGGTACGTCTAGGTAACTACATGTGTATTGCAGGTGTAATACTCACATGCGTGCACCCGTACTAGTCCTCTTTACATTGAAACTGCTACGTCTATATAACTACATGTGTCTTGCAGGTGTATTACTCACATGCGTGCACCCGGACTAGTCCTCTTTACATTGAAACGGGTGCGTCTGAAATGCATATGTTTCATTATGATGCATTACGCACATTCGTGACAGGTGCGTTAAACTTCGTGGAGTGAAATTTTTGTTTGGGGTTGCGTATGTGTACGAGCCGGAACAGCTCCACTTAGATCACACGTGCGCGAGGTTTGGGTCCCAACTTGTCCCACCTTGATCTATTTTTAGATGACCTTGATCTATTTTTAGATTTGCTCTGCACATGTCCACGTGGTCACAAAACGCGTTGAATCAATCCGTATATGCAATCACGCTATACAGGTGTAGTATTGATTCATCATACTCCTTTGGCATATTTTTAAACTGCTCACCTGACTTGGACCTGTTGACACATTTCATTTAAGTCTAAGACAAACGCTTGTTTATTTGACTTTAATATATTGACCCATTTTAAGTCTAAAACATACGCTTGTTCATCTGACTTTAATATATTGACTCATTTAAGTGACCCATTTAAGTCTAAGACATACGCTTGTTCATCTGACTTTGATATATTAGCGTAAGACATATGCTTGTTCACCTGACTTTGACATGTCGACACATTTAAGTCAAGATTATATATATATATATATATATTATACGCTTGTTTATTTGACTTTGATATATTAACACATTTGAGTCGAGATATACGCTTGTTTATTTGACTTTGATACATTGACACATTTGACTCGAGATATACGCTTGTTTAATTGACTTTGATATATTGACACATTTGAGTCGAGAATCGAAAAGAACCCAGCCCGCAAGACTTTCAGACCACCTCCTGGGGACGGTGTTCTCTAGATGTATAGTATATTTGTACGTGTAATTATATGTATAATAATTATGTTTATACCATATCAATCTCAATATATCAAAGTACGTATGCCCGTTGGAACATCATGTATATGTATATTTGATACGTATCCCAATGTATACAAAAGGTAGCTAGAATGTCGGGACAAGCGGTACATGTCTCCATTCCTAACGGTCCTATTTTTGTTTATTTTTATTCCGACCACAGCACTGTCCACAAGAATTCCAGGCCACACTGTCCCAAGCAGTGCACGAGAGTCCCAAAACCGCCGGCGTGACACCCGACGAAAAAACCAAATTCCTGAAACGCATTGTGTAAGTGAGACGGTTTTGGCAATACACCAGATGAAGCAAACCCGAATTTCGGGATGTTAGTTGGTAGAGCACCGGACCTGTTTCATACTTTCTCAATACTTTCACACTAGAAGGGCATGTTTGCCAAACTCTGTGTGCTTGGTAGACATACCTTTACCCAAAGCTCCGATCAATGACAAGCGGCACGCGCAAGGCCCTGAGTCAACTCCCTCTGCTGCTATCCTTCAACAGATCACCCAGCGTACAAGTGCGATGCTTTCATCACCACCATCCCGCATTCAATTGCTACTTAGGTGTATAATTTTGTGCACAAGTTGCGGATCTCTTCCGCCAACATTCTGTTATCGTATCGTTCGTCTCTCGTATTCCTAATATTAATTCGCGTGTTGGGATTTATTTGTTTATTTCAGGAACGCGAGGAAACGAACCGATCTGGTCCCAATCGCAAACGATTTCTCGTTGCTGGCTCGAAAGCTGGGCTGAGCATATATAGCGAATTGGGGGGGTGGGAATACTCTTACCAGTGAGGAGGTATACAGCCAGTGTGTGGACTTTCCCGGTACGGAAATGTACAGCTACATGAACCAGAAGTAAGGGTTTACTCTGCTACATATACGGCCGCGGTTGGAGCCGTATCTATTGGTTAGTGGGTTAGAACACACACGCCGTTTGTTGTATTAACCATGGCGCTACCTGACAGATGTCTTATCAAGAGCCTACGGACGTATCGGGAGCCGAGTACTTTCCTAAAAGCGCTTGGCATGGCAGTCGACTTTCAGCTGGGCAGTCAATCGGGAGTTCAGATCGGAAGGTGCTTGTTCTGCACCAGGATACTGTTCTAGGAAAGGGACCAGATAATCGTCAGCGGTATACGGGCATGAACAAGTAATAGACTTTTGGCCAACTGAATAACAGCCAACCTTCATAAGATTATTACCCGCATATGGTAGTGTAGCGCACCGTGGGCAAGACTGGTAGCTCTCACGTGTGCGTAGTAAACCAAACGAAGAGAAATATGGCGTGATTAAAGACCGGATCGCGAACATATACTGAATGCACCGAGCACGATGATCAAAGGAAAATTGTATATTATATATATATATATATATATATATATATATATATAATATATATATTCTAATT